TGGTATTTGGTGGGGATATGTTATTTTGGTTTTTCATGTTATTATTTTTTCTCTGTGATATTGACATGTGAATTTCTTTTGTAGTTTCTGACTCTTGTGTGATACTTGGGCCTTCAAGTTTCATTTAAGCTTCTGGTTCTCTCTTTTGATTTTATATTGTCGAGGCCGGATTGATTTTTGTCTTCAGGAGTTCCGCGGTGGCCCAACTCCAATGTGGATCAGAAGTTTTCAGACTTTCTCCTTAGGTCTGGAATCTTCTAAGAATGATTTTGGCCTCAGGAACTTGGGTGTTGGACTGACCTGAGATCCTGGCCATGGCCATGCCACGCAGGGGTGTAAAGGCAAATGGGGTGGGAAGAGGCCCCAAGATTTCCCAGGGAGTGGATTGAGTAGCTGGGTTGTACCAGATGCAAAGGATCAGGGAGCGGAAAAGTAAGCATCGGAGCCCCAGAAAGAGGCTGTCAGCCCCAGAAAGAGGCTAGCGGGTGTTGCAGGATCAGGGAAGTAAAGGGACGTGAGGGTGGGGCCAGGCCCGAAGCAGTGCTCCTAGGCCCCAGGGAAGGCACTAAGGTGGTCTGGGTGAAAAAGATTAGGAAGCAGTACTGGTTCCCCAGGTGTCTGGGGACCCAAGACTAGGAATGGCACAGGGCCCAACCTAGGAGTAGAGAAAAGCAGGGGGAGATGGAAGGGTGAATGTGGCTTGGGGAGTCAAAGCGTGTAGGGCTGCACTATAGACTTACCCCAAGAGGCCTGAGGATAGTAGTGCAGGCTAGGAGAGTTAGCCGGTGGTGCAGGCCCAGGGAAGCAGAGCGAGGTGAGCCTGAAAAGCTTTTAAATGACCAGAATATAAACCATCCATGATGACTCCAAAAACTCTTTTATTTCAGAGAAACTTTATTCTCTAGAATTTTGAATTAACAGCAGAAATGATTTAATACTGGGCATGATGGCACAGCCCAATAATTCCAGCACTGAGGAGGCTGACAAATGAAGATGGTGAGCTCAAATCCAGTCTTTGCTTCATAGCAAGTTCCTGGCCAGTTTGGATAGATAGCCAGACTCTGTCTCAAAACACCAAAACCAAGAGTCAGAACCTGCCCAATCCATTGTCATCCTCCTGCTCAGGGACTAGGACAGGACCCACTGCTAGAGAGCTCCTGACAAGAATACCTCTCACCATTCATCAAAGAAGCTTGTTTTTGCAACAGATGGAGACTATTAAAAAGTTCCACCACTGATCAAATGCAGAGAATAAGTGCCTGCGAGGTACCCAGCCCCAAGTGACACATCTACAATGTAACCTCTACACCTAAGGTTCAGAAAACATCACAGAGAGGGGCAGAAAGACTGCAGAGGGGCAAGGCACCCGCTGCTACTTAATGCATTCTAGACATAAGGAAGCTACAGCAATGAAATCTCCACAGTATGATCTGTATATAATGACAAAACCAGTAGACACTCCAATGTGGATAGGGCAAATTTCAAGAAGTCCTATCTCAAGATGAAGAGTTACAGGTAATCAATGGATGCCGAGGGAGGGTGAATCAGTTTTCTCCAAGGACTAGCTCCCTGAAAGGTTATCTAATTCCAAGTGGGCAGCACTAACACAGGTACACAGGAGCACCACTAAATTACTAAATGAATTTAACACATTATATATATACATATACATATATAGCTATAAATATGTGTATGTAACAATAATAAAGAAGACAATAAATTGAGAAGGAATGGGGGGCATGGGAGGAGTTTGAGGGGGACTAGGAGGATGGAAATAATGCAAAATCTATACTTATGTATGATATTCACAAGAGCACTGGCTGCTATTGCAGAGGACCTGGATTCACTTTCCAGCACCCATCCAGTGACTAACAACTGACTGTAACTTCAGTTCCAGGGGATCTGATGCCCTCTTCTGATCTCGTGGGCATTGCACAACATGAGTGTATTTACATACATGCAGGAAATACACTCATACACATAAAAATAAAATATTTTAAAAAATAAAAATCAAAACAAAAAGAAGAAAAAGAAAATGGCTTTAACATGGACTTTTGTGTTTCACATTTTACACCCAACTATGTGTTTCTGTATTTCTGTTTGTTGCCTGATGTTGCAGGTGGTCATTTGCACTGCTGTGTAATGGTTCCATTATACAATTGAAATATCGACTTATTCTGTTGGTGATGGCCTTTTTTGTTATTTCATTTGGGGACTATCAGGAAAGATGCAGCCATGAGAATTCTTATACTGTCTGCCAGCACATCATAAGCACATGTTCCTACTGTTGTGCATGTGATTCTGGAACTACTGGATCACAGGGTGCCCACTTTCAACAAACTGTGCCTGTTTTTCAAAGGAGTTTTTCCAGAAGTAGAATTGAATTCAGTTATTTAACGTTCTTGTCAAAATTTGGTATTTTCCATCACTTTTCTATTCTATTTTATTTTGAAATATACACAAGTAATTGAAGCAAGTTTACTACTTATTTGAGACAGGGTCTAACGTAGACTGGAATCACACGGAGCTGATCCTGATCCTCCTGCCTTCACCTTCCAAGGCCTGAGATAACAGATCCATGCCATCACATCCTGTTTAAAGCAAGTTCAGTTGAGTCTCACTGGACCTTCTCGTTTGCCGGTTGCTTCTCTGAGGTGCTGCTAATCGTGTCAGGCTTCTTCTTGTTTCAGTCACATCTGCCGGCTGCGTGAATTTTGTCATCACTCACCAGTTTTGCTTACTCTGCCCCTGAGACATAACTCTTCCCAGAGTCCAAGGTCCAGCCCATCCTGCTGGCCGCTGGTCTCCTTGGGTACCAGGAGGGAGGCTCGGTAAACCGCCCTCCCCACCTCCGCTGGCACAGGGCGGGGCGGCGCAGTGCATGCGCACTCGAGTTCCGGCGCATGCTCCCCAGCGGGCGGGCCCCGGCTGAGGGGAGTGAGTCTCCGCGGTCGCCTTCCTCTCAGGAGCCAGCCTTGAGCGGCGGCGAGACCCCAGGTTGCAAGTAAAAGTTCACTCAACACTGTAGTCGTTTGTAAAGAGCCAGTCGGGTGCACGGGGGCCGGGCGCCCCGCGGGGAGCCGGCGGCCGCTTCTCGGCGACCGGGAGGAGCGGGGCTCCGGGCAGTGCCGTGGCCGCGAGGAGCCTAGCGCCGGAGGAAGGTGAGTGGGGCCGCGGCAGCCTGCGGGCCTGGGCGGATGATGCGGCCTCCGGGGCGGCGGGCCTGGGCGGGCGCGTTCTTCTCAGCATCCTCGTTCAGTGCGCACGCTCTCCTCAGCGGCCGCGCTCTGGGGATGGCGCGCTCCTCAGCGACTGCGTGACCTCAGCGGGCCTCCCGGGTCGTCAGGCCGCCTGTCCGCGACCCCAGCCGGAGCCGCTGCCCAGCGGTGTTAGCCCCTGAGTCGTCTTGTGCTCCCGCCGGTCCCCTCCGCGCCTCCTCGGCCTCCCGCTTTCCCTGTGGAGATTGCGAGTACACGAGTGGGCGGGCCGCACTGTTGATTGACATGGGCTGCCACCCAGGGCGGAGATCTGAGCACCCCAAGAGTGAGCACTTCACTACCAGGAGTGGGGTGGCACTTTATTTTTTTAGATATATGGGCTGTTAACTTGAAGCCAGTAATCTTTCTGATTAGTGAGTTGACCCATCCTTTCGTAATCTAAATATAAAATTAAGTTGGGGGCTCAGCCGTTAAGAGCACTGGCTGTTCCTGCAGAAGACCCAGGTTCGAATCCCAGCACCCACAAGGCAGCTACCAACTGTGTAACCGTAAGTCAAAAAGATATACTCCTAAAGTTTTTTCTTTTTCTTTTTTTCTTTTTGGTCTTTTTGAGACAGAGTCTCCCTGTAGCCCCAGCTGGCCTGGAACTCACTATGTAGATTAGGGTGGCCTTGAACTCATAGAGATCCACCTGCCTCTGCCTCTGGAGTGCTGGGATTAAAGGTGTATACCACCACATCTGGCTAAAGTTTTTTTTTTCTGTTACAACTTCACACTTAAATTTCTGGTCCATTTTGAGTTAATTGTAGAGGAGAAACTTTACCTTTTTTGAATCTGGTAATCTAATTGCTCCATCACCATTTGTTAAATGTGTGTTTGTTTATTTTTATGTGTATGAGTGTTTTGTCTGCGTGTGTGTAAGTGTACTTGTATCATGAAATGCCCTCAATGGTCAGAACAGGGTTTGGATCCCCTGAACTGGAGCTACTGACAGTTGTTAGCCACCATGTGGGTACTTGGAACCAAATCCAAGTCCTCTGCATCAGCAGCCAGTGTTCTTAATTGCTGAGCCATCTCTCCAGTGTCTTTCCCTCTATTTCAAGAACTTCTTTTAGTTGTTCTTTTGCATAGATCTGCAGTCAATAAATGGTCAGTTTTTTCTTTCCAGAAATTGTCCTGATTTATCTTTCATTTCTGAAAGATATTTTCATCAGATACATAGTTCTATGTTGACAGATCATTTCTTTCAGTGTTCACAAAATGATGTGCCATTTCCTTTTGGCCTTTATTGTTTCTGTTTCTTATTTGATGCTGGGTATTGAATCTAGGGTCTGTGTATGCAAACATACACCCTACCACTGAGCTACATCCCTAGCCCTTCCCTTACTGTTCTGATGAAAAACTCACCGTCATTCAATGCTTTGAAAGTGTGTCTCCTGTTGGCAAATGCTTGATGTTTTTAGTCTGGATTTTGTTAGGTCTGTTGTGTTGGGATTCATTTAGTTTCCTGAATATGTAGTACATTTGTGTTTTTTCTAAATTAGAGAAATTTTAGCCATTATTTTTCCAAATGCCTTTTCTATCCTATCCTTTTTCTTTTTTCCTTCTGTAATTCTGGTGATAGTAACATTAAGATTTATTTAGTTCTGCAGGTCTTTGAGGCTTTGTCTCTCTTTTTTTTTTTTTTTCTCCAGTCTGTTTGCTCTGTGTTGTTCAGACTGGATATTCTTCATTGTGTGATCAAGTTCACAGATTCCTTCCTTTGCTCCCTCTGTTCTGCTGTTGAATCTTATCCATTGAGCCTTTTATTTTAGTTATTATAATTTTCTCTTGTAAACTTTCTATTTGCTTCTTTTGTGTATCTTTCTTTGATAAAACTGAGGGTAGGAAGGACACCTCTACTAGGAGGCATGATTTTACCTTGTTAGGGAGGAGGAAAAGCCCTTTGTAGTTCTGGTCCTGTCCTCTGTTGGTTCCCACTAATGCTGGAAGGGATGGAGAGATGGCTCCATTCCCACTGAGGGTTAGTGAAAGTTAAAGCTTTCTAACAGGCACTCCTCCAAAAAAGAAAAGGTGGCAAGAAATGGTACTTGTTGGATGGGGTAGACATCAGGTTCCCTTTAGGGTCTCTGGTGATACAGTGATGATGGATTGGTGTGGGTGGAACAGTGGAGATACAAGTGCTGGTTCATCAGTTGGTCTTTGGTACCACCACATAGCTGGAGTAGGGCACTGTCATTACAGCCACTGGGGTCTGTTTTCTGACTTGCTGCTTGCTTATCAGCCTCTTTCCTGATGTTTGGCTAGTGAGAGTAGGCTTTTATTGAGGTCTTTTTTTGTTGGTGGTTTTTGACTTCTCTATAATCCAGTTTGAGATATATGAGATAAGAAGAACTCACAATCAGCTCCTTGTGTCCTGTGGCCCATGCCCAGTCATCCTTCCTTCTTTTTCTCAGAGCCTTATACGTACTTATAAAGTACAGAATTTTTAGTTACACTTAGAGGAACAAGGAAAATTTGTCTAGACTTAAAACAAACTGTCTTTGAAGTATTTATTTATTTTAAATATTTCATTTATTATGCATATGAGTGTATTGCCTGTATGTGTGTAAGTATACCAGTGTTGTGCGATGCCTGTGGAGGTCAGAAGAGGGTGTCGGATCCCATGGAACTGGAGTTGTGGACAGTTGTTAGACACCATGTGGGTGCTAGGAATCAAACCCAAGTCCTCTGTAAGAGCAGTCTGTGCTTTTAACCACTGAACCACCTCTCCAACCCCTGAAGATTTTTAATTTGTATGTGTGTGTATGTGTGTCTGTGTGTGTATATGTCTGTGTGCCTGTACAGAGGCCAGAAGAGGGCATCGATTATACTTCTGTATCACTCTTTACCTATTATTTTGAGGCATGGCCTCTCCCTTAACCAGGGATTTGCTATTTTCTCAGCAAGGCTAGAAGCCAACAAGCTCCAGCAATCCTTCTGTCTCTGATTCCCCTCCAACCTAGTGTGTGCTGGGCACCTAGCTTTGTTATACTGGTGCTAGGATCTGAACTCTGGTCCTCATGATTGTACAGCAGGCATTCAACTGCTGAGCCATCTCTATATCCTCTGGAGATATATATATATATATATATATATATATATATATATATATATTAGTCTAGCCACTATTGCATTAGCACACACATTTTGCTTGGCATGT